ACCAATTCGTCTAAGACCCACTATGACCCAGTGAACGACAGGACAGAACCTTTTCCTTTCCTGTGCCACGTGTACAGTCTCTGAGATCCTTTAGTCCATTGTCATGAACATTCTATCAGATAGTCATCTTGTAGAAGCTTCATTTTAATTGAATGTATTCCTCTCTGAAGGCATTATAGAATCCTTTTAGGTTCTTTTGTTGATGCGAGCCATCTAGCCTGTCTGTTGTCACTGCAAACTAATCACTTCTGACTGAAGGTTAGGGAGAAGCAGAAGTGCCTCAGTCATGAAGTGGATTTTGAAATCTAGAAATCTTGGCAGGTGTATTGAGGCCCCTAAGAAACTCCTGATGCAGCTGTCCAAGCTCAGAAATTCCATCTCCTGCCCATGTGAGAGAATGGAGATGCTGTGTCTTGTTTTTCTGTTTGATAGCAAAGGAAGTGTGTAAAGCAGCTTCATGTTTTTAATGATTGAAAAACCTTAGTAGTTATCAGAAAGGCATTACTGCTAGGAAAAGTTTTATAAATAAATTTGCTTTGCCATGAAATTTGGGTTAAAATTTATTAAGAAATACTAACTTGAAAGACCCAGTGTACAAAATAATATATTTGAAGTTTGTAAATAAGCCAGTATAAAATTTTTTAAAAAATACTATCTTCAGCAGAAACTAATTTCTAGAATCAAGTGGTTGTGGTGGCCTAGTGGCAAGAAGGCTCCATTGCAGTCCCAGAGGTTTGTGGTTCAAATCCACCGGATGCTCTGCTGGAGAAGGAGGAACAATCTCCTCCTGTACCAGTCAAATCTGATTTGACAGTACATACATAAAAAATAATAAAATTTAAAAAAAAAAGAATCAACTAATGTAGGGTGGTTATCTTGTTCATTAAAACTTCAGCTTTAATCTTCAGTTAAAGAAAGTCTCAAAACTATCACAGCTAAGCCACTGGCCTTCACCCTGAGCATCAGATCATTATAACTGATCCTTGAGGTGATTGGTCACCAATGAGATAATGTTTTATAATATTAATTGGAGTACCAGTCTAAAGATGTTGAGAGATCAGACCGCAAGATCTACTTTTAATAACAACTGCTGTTCCCACTTTCTTCCTGTGATTTCTAGGAAATAGCTGTTCCTATAGGCAAACAGTAGCACCTTTTCTATCTCCAGCACACTTCACACAGATCTCTAATGTAATACATAAAAATTACTATTATTTACATACCCACCTGTTTGATTAGAATATGAAAGTTAAAAAAAAAGAGAATATGAAAGTTCTCAAGGGCAGATCCTATCTTTTTTCCCCAGAGCTTAGCACCTACTGTAGGAGAGATAAGCAGTTAAGTGAATGGCTGAATGGCTTAGTCATGCTCAGGATGGAAGAACTAAAGTGCAACAGAAGAGTCCTGGCATTGATGTGACGTCTATTTTGAGTGAAATCTGAAAAAGCCCTTGGGTTCCAGCCGGAATTGAACTCAATTCTCGTTTGTTTCCACAGCTCACTCATATTCCACATCTGCTTCAGACCAGGGACTCTCACTTGTAACTGGACTTAACTTTTATGGTAAAATATGGGATACATCTTTCCTCTCCTCGTTTGCCCTAACATTCCAGTATTCTTTCATATGTATTACTAGTTCCAGAAATGGAGGGAAAGCATGTTCCATTTTGAGAGTCAAATGGCCAGAATAGAATTTTTAATTGACGTTTTTGTTGTTGTGATGATTATTCTAAAAGCACAAATTTTAGGAATTTTGCTTTTTAAGATTCCACTCTCTAACTTAAGCATGAAGAAACATTAGCCTGAATATTGCTAGACTTGTTTAGGAGAGCTCGATTTACATGACTTCAGTTTTACATTTACAGATTTTTTGGCAAAATCATATTTTTCCATCAGCTTTTAACATTAAGAAAGTTAAAGTGATGTATTAAAAGCTCTGCAAGAAAGTAAACTTGAACAAAAAAATTTCCCCCTTCAGTCCCAGAGGAAAAATGAACTTTCAGATTGAATGCTGTACCTAACAAAAGACCTGGCTGAGCCTGAAAGTATTTATGATAAAGCACAGGGCTCAATTCCTCCTTGATCCTCTGTCCACACTCCAAGGAAGGCTGGATATTTAGTTTTATGATAGAGCATTCTTACAAAGTGTGTAAAATCTAAACAATCAAATAAATCGTCTTAGAAATAATAAAACCAGGTTAAATGTGAGGAAACCAGAACCACTCATTATAATCATAAAACTCACCTTATACATAAGGGTTTGCACACATTGACATTGCTAGACATACAGGAACCCCCTCCTGGATTTAAGAATGGGTTTAGTCTCCTTTTCTGTTTTTGAAAATGGAAGAGATTGGGAATGCCACGGCATGTAGGAAGAGCTTTGTGCTTCATAACTGCATGAACCACTTGAAGGCTGTTAACTCAAAGAGAATGCGCGTGTAGGGAGGCGTCCTCTTTGTGATGAGAAGACTGATGTCTTATCATGTTTCAGTACCATGGGTAGGGGGCATTGTCATGATGTCACTTCCTATGCCCTGTGTAGTATGGTAGTTCTCCCACATTAGCCAGCTTAATCCTCTCAGGAACCCTTTAAGGGATAAGGAATAGCATTCCCATTTTAAAATTGAAGAAGCAGAGTGAAAGAAATTAAGTAACTTGCCTCAATAAGAAGCTAACCAGGCTTCCGACTGCAGAGCCCCAAAAATTAAATGCTAAGGTCCGTTAGAGTCAAACAGTATTGAAGACTTCTTTAAATTTACCATTCATGACTATATTCATTTTTTTTTTTTGTTGTCTCCAGTTGTGGCTAAAACGAAATGTTCACAAAACAAATTGTTTTTTCATTCACAATACCCACAGTGTAATCACACTTTCACCACTTCCTTCCTATAATGCTCTTTTCTATCCATGGCTGGTTATATTTTTGTGCATCTTGCTGTGTCTTCTCTGACTTTAATGTTACTGTGCTGATATCTCTCTCTCTCTCTCTGTGTGTGTGTGTGTGTAAATACAGAGAGAGATGTTGCTGGTGCGTACCACAGAGTTGAAACTGACCGTAGCACATCCTTTTCCTGCAGAGCAGCTGGTGGCCTTGAAGCACGTACCTTTGGGACTGCAGCACAGCGTTTTGGCACTAGGCTACCAGAGCTCCATATAGATGTGCGGGTGGAGGGCAATATAGTCTTTCCCTTCACTCATCTCAGTATGTGTCTACTGCATAACAGCATACGAAGTAAGAGTGGCATCCACTTCCTAAACTTGCCTCTGGAAACTCTATCAACTTTGATAAATGTCAATAGTTGTCGAGGGCCTTCAGGCCTTTTGTTCATAGAGTCACTATGAGTTGTGCTCCACTTGAAGGCAGTCAACAACAACAACATCTGTTTATTCATTTTTACTCCACTCTTTGTGTATCGAATCTTGCACACATCCATCACCTTTTATGTTAAAAGTTCACACATATACTGAGTTTAGGAGCCATCAGGTTGACTATGACTCATAGCGACCCTGTCAGCAATGAACCTGAACCTACCCGACCCTGCACCATCCTGACGATCTGCCAGTATTCTCAAGCTCACTGTTACTGTCACTGTCACTCCAACGGGTTGAGGGTCCTCCTCTCATTCTCCGACTTTCTTTCTACCTTTCCCAGCAAGATGTCATTTTAAAGGGCTGGCCCCTTCTGGCAACAAGTATGTGAGATAAAGTTTTATCATCCTTGCCCCCAAGGAGCACCTTCACCGCACTTTGTCCAAGACAGGCTGTTTGTCATTTGGCCGTGAATAGTCAGGGACTTTTTTCTTTATCAGTACCACACTTCAAAGGCACTGATTCTTCGTCTGCATCCCTATTCACTGTCTAAATTTCAGCTCCATAGGAAGCAGTTGAAAAATCATGATACACCATGTCTTTAGCCCATTTTGTAATTGGGTTATCAGTCTTTTTCTGTAGGAGTCAAGTCCAAAAACATAAAGATCACAAGAGACAAAATGGTACAAAATGTAGAAGGCTTTTAGCCTGTGATATAAATAAGCTGACAGATATAACCAGAAATGCACAACCAGCGGAAAAGAATGGAACCTTCTAAAGATTAACTCCCTGTGTGCATGAAAAACTTTTTTCAGGAGGGTGAAAAGAAAACCTACTGACTGGGCAAAAACCATTTGGCAATGCCATCTCAGACAGGGATCTCATAATGAAGTTAATGCCCTTTACGCATTGTTCCTCCTTGATCACATTGTATTTACACTTGCTTTCTCCCACTGTTCTCGTCCCCCACAGAGACATGGTGTCCTGTTTGCTTCTATCTCTTATCTTGCTGTCTTCCTCGTGCTGTTTAAAGTCAAGGACTAAAAAGATACATGGAAGTCTTTGTAGTAGGAAATAAATGTGGGGTGTGAGGCTTCCTGTCTGTTCTCAGCAGTAGAGCAGGACATCAGGGAATAAAGCAGTCTTTGTTCCTAGATGACATCTTCATGAGACCTCACTTTTATCCTCCCATATTTCCCTCATCGTCCTCCTCCTCTTCATCTCTTAAGCTCTTCATTGCCCTCATTCTCTCTTTCTTAAAAAAAAATCTGAGTTTAAAAAAGAAACATTCTGCCTGCTTAATTTTTTATGTGCCTCATCTCATATTTAAAATGGAAAAAAAATTATATTGGTATGAAATGCCTTGTTGTTTATGTTGTTATAGTTCATTTAGGAAGCTCTTGCTTCACCTTTGAAAATTCAGGGCCAAAATACAAATAAACAGACATTGCTGCACTCAAAATGTTCAGAGGAACCTCAACATTGGCCTCTTCTTTCATTGATTGTTTCTTAATTTGCAAGATAGTGTTAACGTTTGATTATAAAATGAAATTTCATGCATTGAATTGCAACTCACACAGGACAGCTGTCTGCCTTTTCTCTTTGAGCCCTGGTAACACTGTGAAATGGAACAAGTAGATGTTGGCTAAGTGACTTAAACAAGTTCTTCTCATCACACTTCTTCCTCAGATTCAGGCCAGAAGACATTCAAGAGGAAGCTATCTGTCATTAACTGGGCCTTTTGGCGAGGCTCCAGCACTCACCTCGACAACCTGCCCATGTCACCAACCTCTCCCATGCCAGGCCAGCTCTTTGGTGTTTCTCTGCCAAATATCTGTGAAAATGACAATCTACCCAAACCTGTCTTGGTAAGTTTTGGTTGGTTTGGGTTTGTGTTTGTGTTTGTTTTGTTTTGTAATATAAATAGCAAAGTATAGAAAGGAAGAGCTCTAGGAGAGAAATCTATTCCCAAATAGAAAAGTCATAGACACCTCCTGGCATTGGGGGAAAAAATCTATATTTAATTATTACTTCAGAGAATAAAATCTGGTTTTGCTGTTGCAGGATCATAATGCAGACGTAATAGGAAGAGATAATCCAGTCCACTGGTTTCTTAAAGGGGTCTCATTAACGTGCTTAGAGCATTTTCTCTTTGGATGGAGAATCCTGATTATATTCTTTCAGATCCTTTCTCAAACTCACACTATTCTGAAAACCCCCATTCTGTTAACTTAAGCACCAGAAACTTCCCAGTTTTGGACTTTTTAAAGCGTCCTACCTACATTCTGTATGTATTTCTGAAGTGCTTACACATAAAGACTCATCCAGGGCATAGATGAAATGTGCGTGCAGATCATTTGTTGTTGAGCAGCATTTCTTGGATTCAGTAATCCTTCCAACACTGCAGTGAATTTATGTCATTTTGTGGCACAGTGTGCATCTATAGACACCAGCTACTAGTCAAGACACTCTGTTGTTATCCTTGACAGCATATTTAGGGGTGGTAGATGTTATTATCATCATTAGTTGACACACAAAGCCTCCAAACGTTCCCCAGGGTCACACAGTGAATGCAGGTCATTCTTTCTGCCCAGCAAGCAGAAGACATAGAGGTGGAAAGGCAGCAGAAGAAAAGATTGGTTAAAGGGGTTGTACAGTGAAGAAGGATCCACGGAGGACATAACATTTGAGCCCATACATGGGAAAGTATGAAGTCATATAAAGGGGAGAAAAAGCAAATAAAGAAGGGGTTTGGCAGGCATGTCTCTCCAAAGCTGGGGAGGAGAGTCCACACTGGAGAATAATAACAAAAATTAGCGAGGTTGGAGAGGGACAGTTAACTGGTGCCTTACCTTGAAGCAGTCAGAGAAATGGCTATTAATTCATTAAACAAAGGAAAACCTTTTTAAAGCAAGTATTCAGGGTGAATATTTTAGATGTTGATCATAGCAAGAATAAATTGGGGTGGGGGGGGGAAGACCTGTTAGAAACACTGAAGGAAGGGAGGATTTTCACTTTCATCCACCCAGTTCTGTCTTTCCCACAGCATTCCTTCGCCTCTGGCAGCCAGAAGGGCAAGTTCATATTCCTTTGCTGACATATCTGAATGTCATTGTATTTCTTTTATTTCTCCTTTGTTTCCCCCACAGGATATGCTTTTCTTTCTTAATCAAAAAGGACCCCTCACCAAAGGCATCTTCAGACAGTCGGCAAATGTAAAATCCTGCAGAGAATTAAAAGAAAAATTGAATTCTGGAATTGAAGTGCACCTAGACTGTGAATCGATTTTTGTGATAGCATCTGTCTTAAAGGTAAGAGACGTCACCCACCCTACGGGGTAACTGTAGAGCAAGACAACTGGGAATAATGTTCGTCAGTAAACAAAAAAAGACTTATAATTTGAAAAAGTATACTACTTCACAAATTCAACACTGAGCTTTTAAAAGCCATCACCCAGAGTATGACATGTTGGTGCTTTTGTTATTTTTTTAAAAATTGTTCCTCCTTAGTCTTCACTCCTGCCACCCAGACAAAAAAATTAATGTAAGCATACCTATTTACTGAAACAGGCATACTTTTTAAAAATTTTTTTATTATTAATTGCAATGAAAATTTACAGAGACTTTGGACTTCCATTCATTCATTATTGCACTTTTCTCCCCTCCCAAGCCTTCCCTGCCAGTACACTCCCCTTTAGGAAAAGTAACACATACCGCTTTTTTTTTTCTTTTCTTTTTTTTTTTTAATTTTAATGAACAAACAGGCATACTTTTGAAGAGCCTTCTCACTGTCTTATTAACAAAGGCAAAGTTTTCAAAATCAAGCTTTTGTCAAACTTTAAACACTAACCTTAAAAAAATAATTCCTGACAAGGGCCACTGAAAATCCCATCCATTTATGTAATCATGCCCACATACATTTCCTCCCCTGTTGCCTAATACCTTTTACTTTAAAAGTGGCATGGGCACAGACCCATGAGGAAATGCTCAAAATCACTGGTAATAAAAGAGATGCAAATCAAAACCAAAATGAGATACCATCTCACCACAATAGCAGTGGCAAAGTTTAACAGGACAGCAAGCAGTGGAAAGGATACAGAGAAATAGGAACTCTCATACATTGTTGGTGGGATTGTAAAATGGTACAATCACTCTGGAAGGCAGTTAGGGGTTTCCTCAAAAAGCTGAGTATAGGAATCCCATATGACCCAGCTATTCCACTGCTTATAATATATCCCGAGAAAATTAGGACTGAGACACAAACAGATCTGAACACCAGCATTATTCATAGCAGCATTATTCACCATCACAAGAAAGTGGAAACAGCCCAAATATCCAGCTACAATCAAATGGATTGAGAAATTGTGGTACTTTCACACAGTGGAATACTATGCAGCACTCAGGAGCAATAATTTCAAAATTTACTATATAACTTGGGAGGGTCTGGAGGGCATTAAGCTGAGTGCTTAACCCAGTCTCATAAGAACAAATATGAGATCATTATTGTATAAATAGATAACTAGTAGAATGTGTATGTAGACCCAAGGCGGAGAGAGGGTCGGAGCAGAGGGATAAAGACAGGCAGGAGTGAATCACTGGATCACACAGTTTGATGGATGGAGGGAGAGTGGGTAAAGGAAATGGAAAAGATCTGGTGGGATCTGGAAACTATGATGGGCATAGTTCAATGTTGATTAATTTTATAAAATACAAGGAATCAGCATGAAACACAATTTGAATGAAGGATAGTGGGAAACACAATGCATATGAACTTTGTAAGCAAATCAATACAAAATAAAGGGTTTTATTTTTTTAAAAAAATGTGACAAAGAAATGACATCAACATCTGGGACTCCTTCACCTTTGCTTCCTTTGGCTTTCTTCAGTCCCATGGCGGGAGAAGAGGGATAAGAACCACAAGATTAAGACAGTCATGTGTATAGTTACAGAGCTCTTCTGAAGTATTATCCTTGCACATTCTTGGAAATGCCTCACATTTTGGAACAACCCAGAATCCAAGTCTGCTTTAAGCAAATCATTTGACTCAGCAGTAGCTCCTACAGACGTGCCTTGATTTCAAGCTCCTGGCACGGCTGGAGATGCCATGCAGGCAGAGCTAGAGAAGGGGCCTGCATCCCAAGGCCTGTGGCTTTTAAAGGCATCCAGGAAAACAAAAGGCATAGTCTGGAAAGACCCAAAAGGAACACCCAAGTGCAGTGCCCAGCTCGGCCTGGAATCGTGCACCATGAGCTTATGAACAGTCAGACAATTCCTAGTAAAACGTTGTGTCTGTTCGACTGCAGAAATTTACAGTCAAATGTCACTCACAAGAACCGGATAGCTGTTGTGTGGTGGGTTTATGATTACTCTTTAGTCTTGGGACAAAATAAAGACATGTTGGTGTACTTAACCAGATATTCATGCCAGGATGCATATGCTTGGTGAATTCCCCAATGCTCCAGTCTCACGCACATCGTTTGTTCCTTCCATCTCAGTTTAAAAAGGCTAACTCGTGTTGGTGTTCCATGTTTTAGAAAGTGCTTTCCTTGACAGCAGCACGCTTGTTAAAATTTGGTGTTTCATTGCGGAGGCTATTGCAAAAAAATCATGGTTTTATAGGAGTTAAGTTGTACTTCAGGTTGCAAAAATAAAGGACATAAAGACCCAGATAATGAGGAGGCCTGGTATCGATGTTTTCTTCTGATGTAACTGCATTTTTACTCCCATTTCTTCCACATAGAAACCGATACTTGTGGCTCTTTTATGAGTTTTTGTTTTGCTTTGTTTCTTGTTTTTAAGGCCATTTTGAAGTGGTACTTAAAGTTCCTTTCATTATTTTTTTTTTCTTTCACTTACGATGGGTTTGCTTAAGTATAATTTAACTCTTCAAACTACAATTGAAAGAAAATTGCTTTCGGGTGTATAACTTGGCTTCCCCAAACCTTTGAGAAGGAGTTGCTGTTCAGCCCTGCAGGAGTCTTGTAGAGTTCTGCTCCTGACCTGAGTGTGGGCTGGGAGGGGAGGAGACCTCCAGTTGCGTACTGTGACTTGCTGATTGTAATTCCAAACCAGCTCTCCCTTCCTTTTTAGTTGTGATGGCAGTTGTATTTCGTAACTTGTTATTGCAGCTGTGGGAGAGTTCATTGAGATGTTACAAATCATTATCTTTCAAGTGTAGGTTTAAGACTTAATGATGTTTTCCTTCAAGGCAGATCATAAGTATGTTTTCCACTGAGATTCAAAAGGAGAGCTATTGTCACCACTACCTCATTTTGAAATAACAGATTTTACCTCTTCTAACTCTGAATTTTAAAGTGGGCGAATTGCTAAATTTAGTTAGGAATTATGAAAATGCAGTAAGTTTACCCCAAAAGAGGTAACTTTTTGATGATACAAATGAATCGCAAGGAGCCAGGTGCATTTCTACTGGAAGACGTAACAGAAGACAGCATTTGACTCAGTGCTTCCTTTTTGTTAGCTGCTCTTCTAAAAATGTATAGTGTTTGAGTGACATGACTTCATAGAAGACTTTCATTTGTTTGATCTTCAGGTATTGTAGAATCTCAGTTACACTTGGCCTTCTCCTGCCCCTTATTCATCTCCTGCCGTAGCATAAATAGCAAGAGTTTGACAGTGAAATAGTACTCACCTCCATTAAAACTGGAACCAGGCTTGTCATTGAGAGGTACAAAGATGAAGATTCGGGTATATCTCTGTCCTAATCAGATAAGCAGATGGACAAGAGGCATACCTAACTAGCTGACTAGAACAGTAAGTTAATCATAGCTTCTTTATTAGTAATATAAACACAGTATAAAAGTTACACAATATGTGCTGCTTGTTGTAGGTCACACACTAAGCCAAACCTCACCGCCTTAACTACACTTAGCAGTTCTGACTCAGCATCTCTTCCCTGGTTTCCAAGACTGGAAATGCTGGCTGTTGGAGACGGCAGCTTTTGCCCTCAGAGCACCTGGTGGATCCAGTCCACCCACCTTTCCCTTATCAGCCTGATACATAACACAGCATGCCACCTGGCCTTCTTGTATGGCACACAGGTAAAATGTACCTGGTTTTCCAGGAAGAGTTAAAGGTGGCCCTCTGCCAGCTTTTGCCTAGCTCCATGCTGTACGTGAGTAGGCACGTCAGTACTTAGGAAGGAAACTGTATTATAGTCTAGGTGAAGATTAGACCTTGAAACCTTCACCTGGTTAATACTATGCCAAAAGCATCAGAGTGAGTTGCCCAGATTAGAATTCATGTAGAATTAGGGCCAGATTGAGTTTACTCTTCAGCTTTTTACAAACAAAGATCAAACAACAATCACCCTTGTTCGTAGCCTGCTTGTGCCAGTAAGGTTCACAAAGACTAGAAGGGATAAACATCTGTTGTGAACATGTAGTTTAGTGTCCATCAAGCACAAGAGTGCTGCCTAGGCTCCCAGAGCCCAGCCAAGTCTGGAACACTTTGTCCCTTCAAACACAGGAAACCCTTTCTGTGGGAGCTACAGCAAGAAATGCTCACAGAGCTCTGTTTGCAATGGCACGCCAGTGACGCCTGTAACAGGGCATTATATTTATTCACTGATCTTTCCTAACAGTGCCCGGCACATCTCTAGTCTTAAAATGAGTAATCATTTATCACTAGACTTGGAACCTCACATAGGTGACACATCCTCATGCATTTCTTATTTCCAGAAGAGATGCTGAGCTATGTAAGTGAAGCACGTGAAAGCCAAAGACATTGTAAGTTAGTAGGGGAATGAGATCAGTTCCTGTCCAGCTAGCACAAAAAAACGGAAGCATCAGTAATATTCACAGACTGTACGGTGTTAAGACCTCTGGTGGCTTAGTGATAAGCAGTTTGTGCTGCCCACCCAAAAGGACTGCAGTTCAGATCCACCAGGTGCTCTGCAGGAGAAGGATGGGCAGTCTCCTCCTGTGCTAATTACTGCCTCTGAAAACAAGGTAGAGAGTGTCATGGAATGGCAACATCATCAATTTCTGAGCCCTATAAAATAAGAGTAAACTTAGCACTTAGAAATTTTACCTTGCTTACCTAGTTCTCTTAATAGAAAACATATACCACAAGTGAGTGCCACTAAAGAACAAGTATTCTCTCCTGGTTTAAGAAAGTAGAAGTCCAAATCGGAGCATTAGCTCTGAGAGATGAGTCCTTCCCTAATATGCAGTCCCAGGAGTTCGTGGCATTCCCTCGCATCTGCCTTCCCCTGTGGTGTGTCCCTGTATTGATTCTGCTCTTTTTATAACTCAGAAACAATTAGGTTTAGGATCCACCCTCCTCTGGTATGATCTATCTCACTAACACAACAAAAGAAAACTTTTCTTAAGCAGCGTCACATTCCCAAGTACAAGCAGCCAAGGCCTCGGTGCATATTTTAGGGGGCACAGTTCAGTTCATAGCAGCTGGCATTTGTGATCTGTTACGCCAAATTTCTGAGGCCCGCAAGTATAACATTTTCTTATCGGGAAAAGCAAATTATAACAAATTATGACAGACATTGAGAAGAATGAGAATCTCAGGAACACTTAATTGTGTTCATGCAAAACCTACACTTAAACCAAGAAGCTGTGGTCAAAATAGCAAAAAAGCACTGCATGGTTTAAAATCAGAAAAGGTGTGCACCAAAGCTATACCTTTTCTCCATACTATTCAGTCTGTACATTAAGAAGCTAAACTTTATGAAGAAGAGTGTATCAGAATCAGTGGAAAACTCATCAGCAGTCTGTGTTAAGCAGATGACACAGTCTTGCTTTCTGAAAGCAAAGAGGATTTAAAACGCTGCAGAAGATCAAAGACTATAGTCTTCAATGTGGATCATATCTCAACATCAAGAAGACGAAAAGAAATCCTCACCACTGGGCCAGTAGGCAACATCACGATAGACGGAAAGAATATTGACGTTGTCAACAATTTCATCTTGATTGGTCCACAGTCACCACTTTTGGCACCAACAGTCAAGAATTCACAATATCTATTGTACTGGGTAAATCTGCTGTCAAGAATCTCTCTACAGTGTTGAGGAGCAATGATGTAAGTTTAATGACTAAAGTGCATCTGATTCAAACCATGGTTTTCTCTATTAATTGTTTTGCATTGCAAAGTTGGACAGTGACTTAAGGATGACAGGAGAAGAACTGATGAGTTAAGGTGTTGGAGAAGAGTACTGAGTATCCTCAGGACCACCAGGTGAAGTGGTAAGATGCTGCGCTGCAATCCCGAAAGCGTGCAGTTCAAATCTACCAGATGTTCTGTGGGAGAAGAATGGGCAGTCTCCTCACTTGCTAGTTACTGCCTCTGAAAACCCACTGAAGGGTTAGCTATGGGTCTGTTCTCCCACTTGAGGACAAATTACAACAACCCAGAGGACAGGTCTTGGAGAAAGTGCAGCCATGGGGTGCTCCTTGAAGACAAGGATGACAAAACTTCATCTCACATGTTTTGGGCATGTTGTTAGTAAGGGTCAATCCTTAAAAAAGGAGATCATGCCTGGAGAGATCAGTGCGAGAAGAGGAGCCTCACGGTGACACGGTGCCTGGAACAGTGGGTTCAGGTGCTATCAGAGATGGTGTAGGACACGGCAAGGTCCAGTTCCATTGTTCATGGAATTGCTATGAGTTAGAGTTGATTCAGTGGCACTAACAACATCAACGTGTATGTTCCTGTTCGCTGTGAGCTTTTAGAGAAAGGAAAAACAAAGCTATTGTGAGCATTGTTTCCTTTTAAAGAATGCACACTCAAAGTCATAAGACCTAGGCCTGCCTGTGTGAGAAGGTTAATTTTAGCTATTATTATTTTACTGTTTGCTTTTGCTTTTTTAAAACAGAAAATTTCTTTTAAAAAGTTCAGTATACTTTGGCTAAAATATGGAAGCAAAACATGTAGAACCCAGAGGGGAACTCTGATGGGTTAGTGATAAGGAGTTGGGCTGTCAGCCCTAAGGTAGGTAGTTTGAATCCAGCACCTGCTCCAAGGAGAAAGATGGGCCATCTCCCTGGTGAGATTAATGGTATCTGAAAATCCACTGAGGGTCAGCTATGAGTGGATTCTGACTCAACAGCACCCAACAACAATGAGGGCAAAAGGGCAAGATTTAGGATACTTTATCCCTAGGCCCTGTCATGCTGTACTAAATTGTTGAAACTTCGACAACCAAATTATTTGAGGCTGGGCAGATTGTCCTTTATCTTTCAAACACTGATTGTCCCTCCAGCTTTTATTAAGAAAATCAAACACATGTCTCTGTGTTCAAGTCAGTTGGCACAGAGTTCTGTGTGTGTCCAAAAAAAGGGTGGCCTTAACTGAACTTTCCAACGAAATGTTTTTTCACTAATTTCTATAGTATACACTTGGCTTAAAAATAGTGATTTAGGCTCCTCCCCGCCCCCGCCTCGGCAGTTTTGGCTTGTGACCCTAGAACCCACTTTTTCGTCTGTCGTACTCCGACCTTCCACGGCTGCAATGCGTTTCCTGGTCGCCACGTTTCTGTTCCTGGCGCTCAATGCCACTTCCCTAGCAGAGCCCGTGAATTTGAAAGGAAGTGAATGTGAATCCATGCCCAACCCAGCCATGCCAGTTACACAAAGGACAGTCTTACAGTGTCAATGCCACCTTCACAAGCAATACTTATTCCCAAAACAGCACAGCCTCGGTGTGTGGCATTATATTGGGTGTTGACGTTCCCTTTCCTATTCCTGAGTCTGATAGTTGTAAGAGTGGCATTGACTGCCCCATCCAAAAAGACAAAACATATAGTTACCTGAATAAACTACCAGTGAAAAGTGAATATCCTCAAATAAAACTGGTGGTGAAGTGGCTACTTAAAGATGACAAAGGAAAATATCTCTTCTGCTGGGAAATCCCATTAGAGATCATATCCTAGAGATATTCTATGCCAATATGTCTGTAGGGTTGAAAGGGCACGATTGAGGGGAAGGGAACTGGAGGAGATATCAATTCAGAAAGGAAATCAGTTCCATAAGAAGAAATGTCCAGATTACTGTTGTATGCCTTAAAAAATCTCCAAGACGCTTATGTCTCCTTTTGTAAAAAGGCTTGAGAAAAGGGTTGAAACTCCAGAGACTGTCTTATCTTCAGTGTTCTTTACAGGTGTAACAGAGGTGAGGACACAGGTCCTGAGGCGATTGCTTAGGGATATCAGACAACATGCCTTTATTTCATTGGCCCTCACATAGGAGGACAGGTTTGAAATTGCATCTATCCAGCTGGGCTGTTACACCCACAAATTCTTTGTCTTCAAGTGCCTCATTGAGTTCATGCATCTGGCCAAATTAACATCTCCAGCCCCATTGGTTTAACACTCACTGCATTGTCGCCCAGCAATTCACAGATACTCAACTCTGGATGGCTGATGGTTCGCTCTGGTTGTCTCTTGTCTCCTTTCCTGCCTTAGATTTTATTTTCTTATTATTACTATTTTTTTTTTTTATGCAGCACATGGTCAGATGTTTGGGGGTTTTTGTTGTTATTTTAACATTATTAACTTGTGGCATTGTTACACACCTAGAAATCTCTCTTTGAATAAAGACTTGCCAATTTTGTCTTAAAAAAAAAAAGTGATTTAAAAATATGGTTTTCCCCCCCCCCCTCTATGTTAAGGATTTTCTACGAAATATCCCAGGAAGCATTTTTTCATCAGATCTCTATGATCATTGGGTCTGTGTAATGGATCAAGGCAACGATGAAGAGAAAATAAATACAATTCAAAGGTAATTAGTCTCTAAAATAGCCTTGTTGAAAGCTTATGTTTTATAAAGACTTCTCTAGTAAAATAAAGACAAGTATCAAAGTCATGCTCATAAGGACCAGTTTAAAAACAAATTTCTGCAGCCGCCGCCGTTGTAACCCTTATTTCTTTCTTCTGATCGTGTTGGTATGGAGCACTTGACCACTGTCCACCTTCATTGTATCTTGACACTGATAGGAGCTGACATCCATTAGTCCAGAAGCTAGTGTTACAGGCACAGTCTAGTTCTATGATCTTAATTTTTCTAAATATTTAACCAACTTGTACCTAGATTTCAGCAACCCAGTAAGTACATACATAATGAGCCTTCAGCCTCCTTCCGGGATGAGAAGGGAATACACAGAGAGTTAGCATTCCCCTGCAGGGGGCGCACCACTCACCAGGAGGTGATGAGGAGGAAGGGGCGCTGGGATGCAGTGCCTTACTTCTGCAGAGGCTCAGTGCTGGTAGAACACCCTACCTCCTCACTGCGTTACAAGAGAAGAGGAAAGAAGTGCCCTGTACCACAGATTTCCAATTCAGTCAGTGCAAAACCCAAAATCCCAGGGTATTTCTTTTCTTAGCTTTCTAATACAAATTATTACATAAACAACCACTGTTGATGGACGTTTTGTACCAATAGTCAAACAGTACATTTGTAAAGGACACCGGAAACGCCAACCAGGGATTGCAGAATCACCTCGGCTTCCTTCATTGTCTGGAAGAAATTAGACTGCTTAGTGGGCACCACATTCTGTAATTTGCTTCCCATAGTCCAGAATTTTATATCCTACAACTCTTAAGAGATTATTTTGTAAAGTCAAATGATGGCTTTTACATAAGTGAAAATTATCATAAATGAGAGGACCACTAAGATATCCAGATCAGAGTCCCCACAACTTAATTAAATAGTTCCATCAGAAATAGTGAAATGAATTTAAATAGATGAAGAACAATCTTTCACAGAAAACCCAAACCTCTGCTGTCAGGTCCATCCCAGCTCAGGACCATCCTGCATCAGGGCTCTGAGGAACATGCTGCCTTATCTTTCTCCCACCGAGTGCCTCATGGATTCAAACAGCTAACCTTTTGGTTAGCAGCCCAGTTTGTAATCCATTACACTAACAGAGGCAGTGATAAATTGATTGTCCTTCTAGTCACATAGAATTCTCAAGCCTATAGGCTTGATATGTATTTTGTGCATTCCTGTGAGTTATCTAAGGAGCTCAGGTAGCATAGTGTGTAAGGAATCACACTGGTAACTGAAAGTGCAGCAGTTCAAACCTACCCACAGCTACCTCTTCAGGAGAAACAGTCTCTCGTAAGGATTTACAGCTTCAGAAACCCATTGGAAGTTTGCTGTGAATATGCTTTGATGACACCGAGAGTTTTCCTGTGTGTTTCCTACGCATTATCTACAACTTACAAAGTTATTAAAGAATTACTCAAGTCAAGGGAGCTCTGGTGGCCTAGTGGCAAGACGCTGCACTGCAATCCCAGAGGTACGCGGTTCAAATCCACCAGATACTCTGCTGAAGAAGGAGGGTGCAATCTCCTCCTGTACCAGTCAGATCTGATTTGATGATACACGTAAAAATAATACAATAAAAATTAAAAAAAAAGAATTACTCAAGTCAAACACCTCCATAGAGTCAGATAACCCAAAGTGTAGGTTATGGATGCTGCCTTTTCCACCGGACACACCTAGTAAATTTGCCATCATTTATTCTTACAAAATTAGACTCTTTGTCAACTCACTGACCTGAAGAAAGGACTTTGCTGTTTATGCAGCAAGAATCAAACAGTCCTTTCCTCTCCTGCTTACAATTTCTTATGGAAAAAAGCAATAACGTTGAATATAAACTTGGGCACTTAAAGTGTATATCTATACAAAGAGAGCTCTATAGAGATACAAGGAGCTCTGGTGGTGTAGTATTTAGGCACTTGTGTGGGCTCCTCAGTCAAAAACTGTACTCCTTTGGCAGTTCTAGTCCATCAGTGGCTCCAAGGGAGAAAGATGGGCATGGGCAGTCTCCTCCCATGTGATTTACAGCCTCTGAAACACAGTGAAGGGTCAGCTATCAACACGTCAATTCCAGTTCAACAGGAATGAATTTGAGTTCGATATATAGATAAATATATCTTTGTTGTATCTCTCTATATATATATACTTTATGACATTTTTAATGAAATAGAAAAATCTCCTTTTCATTATAAAATAGAAACAGTAGGAAGGAAGTACACAGTTATAATCTTGATTTCTGTAATAACATGATACCTGCGATATAAAGGCATTTGGAACAGTATTGACCTTGGCAGCTGGTTGACCAGAGCCTGCACTCTCCTATCAGACCTAGAGTTAAATGGCTAATGTTTGGGTTCTCATTAAGAGACAGCAGTCCTATGTGTTACTTGGATAAAAGAGCATTTTAAATTTAATCGCTGCTTAATGTCCTCAGAAAGCATTTGGGAGTTCCAGTTAAGAATATTTTGAAATGTTACAGGATTTGCATAAGTTAAAACACATTGTACTAGTTTGGGGGAAATATTTCAGGCAGCATATTTTTACCAGTTTTTTTTTTTTTTTGCATTCTTTTACATTTAACATTAAGCTGTTAAGACAATGTACAAAAGTGTATGTGTGTATCTCTGCAGGGGAGGGGAGAGTACGTGTGATGGGGGGGTGTATTCTCAGTGCTTTCAATATGGCAGCCCTCCCTTTGCATGGGGCTTTGTTAACTAAAACTGTTGTAATCTGAATGGTATTTTCGTTTTGCTTGGTTCTTCATACAGAGCAAAAGTTGCTTGTATTTACAAATTTGTAAGTGAAATGTCTTGCTTAAAGAATACTTTTTAAATTTTGTCTTTAGGCTGTTAGACCAGCTTCCAAGAGCCAATCTCGTTCTCCTGAGATACCTTTTTGGAGTATTACACAACATTGAGCAACACTCGTCCTCCAATCAGATGACTGCATTTAATTTAGCAATATGTATCGCTCCAAGCATTCTTTGGCCTCCTGCTTCTGCCAGCCCAGAACTAGAAAATGAATTTACAAAAAAGGTAATGAAATTTTTCATTTTTTTGCCCAGGGGGACCAAGTCCCCATTTTGAACCTGAAATTGAGGGTATTAATTTTGAAAGAGACTTTCTTAAATACCTTAATTACACCTACAGATAAATTTAAGGTCAGAACTAAAGAGTTTATCATTGTATACTATGAGAAAATATTTTGTTAAAAAAGTTTAAGAAGCTAAACATTAAGGAAGCTACCATTCTACTTATAGAAATATAACAGATTCTATAATTTTAATGAGGGGTTGTGTTTTGTTTTGTTTTTTTTTAAAAAGGTAACACCTTTGGTAGTAGACAAGCCAAGATTCATTTCTCAGCCCTGACACTTACCCCACATTCAGTCTAAGGCAAAGTTATTTACACTGATCCTCAGTTTCAACATTTTCTAAATAGAGGTGGTGAGAATAGCTACTTGATAAAGTAATTGCCTGTAATCACTTTCTTGTAGTGGCTGGCAGTAATGAGAGGCTTGAGGATATTTATTCCCTTTACTTCCAACATTACACTTGCACAGCCCATTATCACACCTTTGCCACAGCAACTATTGGAAGGTTTCAGTACTTCTCAGTGGAGGCTCCAAGCAACCTTCCCTCTTCCTGCTCCACTTCCAGTTAGGACCTTGCGGGAAGTCAGTGTATGGGACTGTGGTCAGGTGGAAGGTGCATTTTGTCTCCAGCTGCCTCTCCTTCACAGCGTGTCTACAATGGACGCCCTCTCCCCTCAGTTTACAGCAACCTGCTTACATCTGAAATTTCAGAGTATTTTTGTCTAATTGATGTTAAAAAGGTTTTGTTTTTTAAATTAAAATGTATATTCTCTCCAAATACCCTATGGGAATAGCATAAAGTTGGCCAAATTTTAAAGAGGGAGCCAGTTCTATGACAGTGTTAGTATTAAACAAAGGCCATAAATAGTGCCAGTTTAAAAACTGGTACATAAATGCCTTCCACATTTGTTTGCCAATACTTCCTCCCACCAGGAGGTGTGTTTACAATGCTACTGCTACGATGGTTGTTGTTTTTTATAGTAACGTGTTCAAAAAAAAAATATTAGACTTAAATTCCTTGGAGTTAAGGTTAAGAGCATTCAACAAATTAAATGTATAAGATGTGCTGTTTGTGGGAAAAAAATACATTAAGTTCACCAATTAGAATGAACTTAATTTCTGTGCCTGTACTAGTCTTGAAAGTATCTTTTTTTTTTTTAGGGAAACTGCTTTGTATTATATGAGATCTGAAACATCTCTGAATTGTTTTACATTTTTTAATTAGAATTATGATTCATGAATGAAATATAATTTCTAAACCTACTATGAAAAACACTTCATTTTTGTCCCCCTCCTTTTTTTAATAGGTTTTACTGCTTATACAATTTCTGATTGAAAATTGCTGTAGAATATTTGGTGAAGAAATCACTTCCCTCTTGGGGGAGATTTCAGTGAGCTGTGATCTTAGAGAAAATGCATCAGGTATGTTAAGGCATTTAATTGACTCTTGTGAGGGAGAGATACATGTCTGTGCGGGGATGATGGGAGATGCTGAGAATGTAGTTACCCTGGAGCCCAGAGCTGCTGAGGGGAAGGGAGCATCTGAGCTGGGTCTCTGGGGCCGAGGCTTCTGCTCCTGCCTCAGAAGGCCAGCTGACAGGACAGGGCTTGTTTAACACTGCGGGAAAAATGAAATTTAGGAGGTGAGGTCTCAACCTTCAAGGCATCTCTAGTATCAGTATGTTTCAATATTTGAAGTTTTTAAAAATAAAATAAGGAAGCCTAAAATAATAGAACTTTAGTTGTTAGGTGCCGCCGAGTACGACTCTTAGTGACCCTAAGAACAACACATCTGAACCCTGTCCTATCCTGTGTCGTCGTCACACTGCCTGACACATTAGGGCCCATTTTGGCAGTCACGGTGGCAGTCGATCTGGTTGAGGGTCTTCTTCTCCTTCACCAATGTTCTTTCTGAGAATTATGTCACTCTGCAAGGAGTAACTCCTCCTACCAACATCCCTGAAGTATGTGAGACAAAGCTTTATAATCTTTGTCTCTAAAGAGCACTCTAGCTTCACTGTCTCCAAGACATATTTGTCTCTTCTTTTGGCCATGCACTAATAGAGCTACAGTGGTAGAAACAGAACCCTGCCCTTCCACACCCCCCCACAACCCCCAGCCCCCGGTGGCTTAGTGGAAAGGAGTTTCAAGACTTGCACTGCCAACCCAAAGGCACATGGTTTGAGTTCACCAGACACTTCTCAGGAGAAAGATGGGCAATTATTGCTTCTAAAAACCTGCTGGAGAGTCAACTCTCACTTGACGGCACATAACAAACAACACAATTCCTTCCCCTTAGTGGAGCCCAAAACAGTCCAGTGTTTAGTACACCATGAAATAATTTAAAGGCATCTAGTATCCTAGGGACAAGGGTAACTGAAGACATCCAGCTCTATAGAATATGAATTCCTATACCGTAAAACTAATTACAGTATCTTGGGCCAATTAGTTTTTCTCACTGAACATGATTATCTTCATCTATAAAATTTGGTAACCATTATAGCTAACTTTTATGGTTGTGAAGATTAAGTAAGGTAATAGATTTTAAAGAACAGTATTAAAGATAATTTTCTAGCACTTGTTAAAGGTTTTTCCAAGACTAGAGTTGGTTATATATGTTGTTGTTGTTGTTGTTGTTGTTGTTGTTGTTGTTGTTGTTGTTGTTAGGTACTGTCAGATCACCTACAACTCATGTGACCCTGTGAACAACAGAGCTGACCCCTGCCTTTTCCTGTACCATCCTCATGATCTCTGCCATGCTTAAGCCCATAGTCACTGTGTCAGTCCATCCTGTACAAGTTTTTCCTCTCTTTAGCCACCAGCAATTCATTTTAGAAGAACAGATGTTACTCAGAATCTGAGTGCCTTAGTTTTCTAATGCTGCTGTAACAAAAATATCACAAGTGGGTGACTTTAGGAAACATTTGTTTGCTCACAGTTTAGGAGCCTGAAGGCTAAATGTGAGTGCTGGACCTAGGAATATGTGTTCTCTCTCTGCCAGCACTGGAAGAAATGTCCTTGTCTCTTGAGCTTCTCTTCCTGGGGAGTCTCAAAGTGACTTGGCCTCTCTCTCTTCCCCAACTCTGCTTCTCTCTCTTACTACTATTTAGTCTCTTATGTTTCAAGAGATTGACTCAATACACTAATCCTGTCTTATTAACAGACCAAAGACAGCTCATTCCCACATAGGATTATAAACACAGGCATGGAGAACTAGGATTTACAAGACATTTTTGAGGGACCCAATTTAGTCTCTAACATTCCAAAATGGATGGATGACTGTTGCATTAGAGTGCCAAGAAGCCAAAGCAAAGGGAATAAATCAAGAAGTTAAGGAGATGAATAGAAGATTCCAAAGAGCAGCTTGAGAAGATAATGCAAAGATGGTTGTTGTTGTTGTTGTTAATGATTATTGCCGTCAAGCCCTATGCGACTTATAGCGACTCTATGAACAAAAGACCTAATGCTTTTCCATAACTATTGTCATTTCTCCAAGTTTACAGAGTTTCCAGAGGCATGTGGTTTAGGAAGTAGATGCTACTCCTGCTTCCAAACCTGTTTTACAACTGGGAGCTCCACCAAACACTGTCCACATTGGGAAACCATTCTGGTATTTGATACCCTAATGGCACAAGGTTCAGCATCACAGAAAATCAAAGTTACTTCACATTTACAATGAGTGATGTGCAAAGTGGAAGAGTGTTCCTCCAGATAGAACAGCACTAGTCACATTTAGCAGTGGTTAAGTGTCATCAAGTCGAATATGACTGAGAGTTAGCTTGGCACAAAAGACCTGAACTCTGTTCTATAACTAACATCACTTCTGTACATTTATAGAGTTTAGAGACTTTGTAGAGTTTCCAGAGGCATCTAGTTTAGGAAGTGGATGCCACTCCTGCTTCCTAACATAAATTAATCAGGAAGCTCATCCAAACATTGTACATAATGGGTAACCATCATGGTATTTGACAAGACTATGAAACAGTGTGCAGCATCACAGCAACACCAAGTTGTTCAGTTCAACAAATAGACAAAAGATTGCTGTGTCATTTAAGGGACTGTTAACTAGTAAATTTGATCAAAATGCAAAGGTACATGGTTTGAATCCACCAGCTGCTCCTCAGGAGAATGATGGGTAGTTAACTCCTGTGCAGTTTACTGCCTCTGAAAAACCAGTGGAAAGTCAGCTATGAGTCAGTTCTGATTGGATGGTACACAACAACTTAAGGCTTGAAAATTATCTGTTCTATGAGATGACCTGGGCTTTTGCCCCACCCTCCAGACTCTGAATATTCACAAGACCCTCTTGATTCTGGGTGGAGGGCGCATGGCCCTGGACTTGAGTGGCCCCATCTCCTAGTCTGTCTGGTCCAGCAGGCCCTGTACTTCTGCTTCTTAGACATGGAAGTCAGTTTTTAGCTGCAATCTCATCCCGTTGGAATGCGTTTACAGCTGCTCCACACTCCTGAGCCAAGTCCAACAAAGACCTGGTTCTGAAAATCAGGACAGTCTGGCCCCACCCTTTGAGATCTGGGAGACCATGGCTCCATTTCGGAAGCAGAAAAGACTGCTCCCTTCATAGTTGTGATTTCTACACTGTTCAGAAACAATCCCTTTCTTTTCTTGGAAGATACCAAATATAACTCCTTTGGCCTCTTTCCTGCCTATAGACTTCCAGGAGACAAACAGCGTTCTTTCCTTTTGTTCTTTCTCTGTCTTTTCAGGCTAAGCTGATGAGTTTTCTACTGTAGTAGTTAATTAACTCCATCAGTCACAGGCTTGATCTCTTAACAGAAGTTGTAGTCTGTGATACATATCCTTAGCTTGTACAACAGAATTTTCCAAGCCTTTTAAGTTTTGTTTTCATTTTGCACCGTTCTTTTTTACGCCCATCTTTTTCCTTTCATCTTTTACTGTAATCATCAAGGAGAAATCAACAGTCTCTTTGAGATCCTACTAAGAAATCTCATGAGCCAGATGATTCCAAGTTCATCAATTACAAGTTAAACCTTTCAACAGACATTTGAACATGATTCAGATAAGTTCTTTGTGACAGCATGAAAACTGTCACCCTTCCTCCACTGCCTCATCACATGGTCATCATTTTCTTTTACAGCCTTAGAAGCACATTTCCTTGCATATTTCCAGCAACATTTTGCTGCTGGTGCCTTATACACTGTCTGAGACAGGAGACTTTGCTCACTTCTTTCTGAGCCCTCACCACAATTGCCACGTCTTTTGCCCTGTTGTTAAGTGATCTCATAGCATTTAATGTGACTCATAGCGAACGTATGAGCAGCAGATCTGAACTCAGTCCTGTCCTCTACCATCCTCCTCCCCCATTACTGCAGGCACTGTTATCAGTCCATCTCATTGAGGGTCTTCCTCTCTTTGCTGACCCTCAGCCTTTCCAAGCATGTTGTCCTCCTCCGGAGAACAGCCTCTTTTAACAGTATGCCCAAAGTATGTGAGAGGAATCCTCACCATCCCTGCCTCTAAGGAGCACTCCACTTGCACTGCGCCTAAGACATATCTGCTTGTTCTTTTGGCAATGGAATATTCAGCTCTCTTCTCACACACTGCAACTCAGAGGCATGGATTCTTCTCCTGTCATCCTTATTTGTTTTTGATCTCTCAGATGTATAGCGGGTTATTGGAAAGACTGTGGCTTGAATCACACACACGTTAGTCTTTAAACGGACATCATTTAAGTAAAGGCCATTTTGTCAGGACCTCAGATAAATCTAGTACCATCTCATAGTTGGCCCTCCAGTGGGTTTTCAGAGGCAGTAAATCACACAGGAGGAGATGGCCCATTTTCTCCTGTGGACTAACTGGTAGATTTGAACTGCATGTCTTTGGATTGGAAGTGCAGCTGTTTACCTGTAGGCTACCAGAGCTCCCTAAATCTAGTACACTCTTTTTTAAAAAAAAAAAAATAAATTCTGTACTGACAGTTGGGAAGACTGAAAGATCCTTTCTTGACAGTAAGAGCTTAAACATTCTACATGAAAAAAAAGCATCATAGTTTATTTTAAAAATAAATATATAAAGCAGCTTGGGCATCATTTGTGATAAGGAAAAAATACTAATCATAGTTTGATTTTTTTTTTAATAACAGATATTTCCTGCTTCCAACTGAATGACTCCTCCTATGACAGCTTGGAAAATGAGCTCAATGAAGACGTCGATGCTCCATGTAGCGACTTGGTCAAGAAGCTTAGCCAGGGGAGCAGAAGCATGGACTCTGTCTTAACCCTCAGTGACTATGACCTTGACCAGCCTGAGGTGGAAGGCCTTTTAACCCTGAGTGACTTTGACTTAGACCGTTCTAAAGATGAAGACATTCCAATGAAATGGCCTCTTGAATCTAAGCCAGTAAGCATGTCAATGGCGTACCCAAAGGTCCCACTGCGGGATCCCGCCCAGGCCCCCACCAGCGTGTGCGCACCCACCTACCTGTCCACGGTGGCCGCAGATGCCCCCAAGAGCGGGCTGTGGCACCGGCGCTGCTCAGAGCCCAGCATCGACTATCTCGACTCCAAGCTGTCCTATCTCAGGGAGTTTTACCAGAAAAAGTTGCGCAAGTCCAGCTGTGATGCCATTCTCTCTCGGAAGGATGAAGACTACATGAAGCACAGCCAGGCCCTCCAAGAAGAAGGTAAGGTATGTTTAAAGCAGAGTCTGGTCACAGGCACTGGTACCAACAAGAAGAATGCCTCTAATCAAAATGTTAAGAAGAAAAGCGTGTCTGGCAATGAAGGCACGCATATGAGACTCTTTCATAAGTCCAAGCCCGTGGCTATTTCTGTGGCATCTTACAGTGGCATGTCTTCACAGGACCACTGCAGGGGCCAGCCCAGGAATGCAGAAGCACCTCGGTTCTCCCCGCCACACACAGGAGACACCCTCAAGAGTTCAAGAATACACCGGCGCTCCTCGGAGCCCAGCATTGATGACCAGCACTGCAAACTGACCTATCTCAGGGGAATTCACTCAAAGAAACATCATAAAGCCAGCTGTGAAGCCGGTCCCTTCCACGGAGAGGAAGATTATCTTCAGCGGCACAAGTCTTTGCAAATGGAAGGACAAAAACTTATTAATCAGAGTTTGGTCATGGGCATCGAGGTAGGTAAGAGTAGTGCCACCAGCCAGAACACTGAGAAGGTCTTACCCCCTAAATTAAACATTTGCCCAAGGACTAGTTATTCCAGCCTGTCCTCCCCAGGTACATCCCCCTCCGGCTCCTCAGTGAGCTCCCAGGACAGTGCTTTCTCTCAGATTTCTGAGCACTCCGTGTTTACGCCCACTGAAACCTCCTCACCGATAGATTGCACTTTCCAGGCTCAGAGGAAAGCAGAGGCGCTTCCTTCTGACTGTAGTAGTTCCGGCTTTGTTTCTCTGGTGCCCGGTTCTTCATCAGGGCAGGCCAGCCGCCATCTGGTGTGCCCAAAAAAGGACCCTCTGGAGTGGCACTCACAAATGCATTCTGTAACGCTTCACCCCAGCACATGGTTGAGAAATGGTGTGGCCAGTTTGAAAAACTGGTCCCTCAAAAAGAAGGCCAAAGCATCTCACCCAGAGGAAAAGAAAGTCACTTCCCTGAAAGGACCTCTAGAGCCACTTCCACATGCTTCCAGTTTTCCAGAAGCCACCTCCCTGCAAGAGAGACTGAAAGACATGCCCTTGAGGGCAAGTGAAGGTCTTGGAGCTGGACAGACAGCTCAGTGGTGTAGTATTTACCCCCACCAGGACCCCCAAAAATACAGCAGCTCCCCACTCAGCCCCATAGAAGACAGACTCCCATTGTGCAAGAAGTCACACAAGGAGGTCGAGCATGGTGGCCCGTGCTCTGCTGGTGCTCTCCCTGGCGAAAGGCCCTCCTCCAGCTCACTGACTGTGGATGACCCCTCCAGCCCAGACTTGGGGCCTGCAGCAGGTCAAGATGATGCCGACAGTCATCTAACCAAAGACATTTGAGTCTCAGTGAGACCCCGACGTCTCCAGGAACGGGAACTGGGCTAATTATAACATACAGACAATAGTGACCATGATCCCTTTGTACAAGATACTTAAGCTAGGTAGCGTAAGGACAGTCATTGCTAATACTTAGGGCAGCAGGACGATTCTCGTCATGTGAGACAACTTGCCAAAATTTGATTCTCAAAAATGTGGTTACCTGAGTGTTTGGAAGGCTTTTTCTTGTTACAGCATGAGATAAGTCCTGTTGTATCATTTTCAAGACCCAACAGAGGACTACAGAAAGCAGTCTGCTGTTGAGGAAAGGAGCATTATGTGAACATGCAGTGAGACTAGTTGCCAGAGAAAACCAAGATAGTCATAATTTAAAGGGACAAAGAAGAGGGGAAGGGTGCAGAAAAATCATCTAGTCTGTGGAGGGGGCTAGAAAAATGCCACAAAATCACTACAAAGAAAAGCTTGTCCACTGAGGAAGGAAATGATGTAACCTCTTCCTGTACCCAAGCCTGAGGTGATTTCTGTGGCATTGTACAGTCTTCCTGGGATCATCGTAGGAACCACTCCATTGGTGTATCTAGGCTAGATGCAAGTGGAGTAATCCAAGAATCATGCCACCATGATAATTTTTTTGACTAGTTAAGTTGTTTAGTTAGAGTGTTGCATTTCCCTGAAAGGTGCCAAAAAGCAGAGCTGTAGAGCGAGCTGGTTTTCACATCAGTAGCCTAGTAAGAGGCACTTGTGCTGGGAAGGTTCTCCAGAAAGATACCATTGTTATTTAAAGGTGATCTAAGTCTGTTACCAATGTGTGATCCAGTTTGGGCTCCTTTTTGCTAAGATGTATCTCTCTGTAGCTCTGCCTCTTAAGTTATGATCAGCATAGAAAAATTATTTCTAAATCAACCACTTCTAATTCCTCTAGTTTGTCAGTTAAGAGTGCCATTTAGAGATGAGTGGCTTATAAGCCATCACTGACTGGTCTTCCCCTTGGAGTGACCGGCCAGACTCCTAAGACAATTAGCTTTGGCTTCTCTTGCCTCGAGAAGTGTCTCCATGGCTTTGCCCCAGACAGTCCATTGTTATGGATGGTTTGCACCCAATTGGTTTCTTATGTAACTGTGGGCACTTCTTTCTTTTGCATTAAAAGGCTGTTCACCATGTCTTCAGTAGAGATGAGTTCTGAGCTTGTCAAGCAACATGAAAAGATGGCACCAGGAAGGGCTCTGCATCTTCCTTCATTAGAACTGTTTACCTGTAAAAAGGTGCATGGAGCCCATTTATCTGGTCTCCAGTCTACCCCCAGACTCTTATCAGATGAGTATTATGCCCAGGAACTAGCTTATTCTAAATTCATTTCTTGTCACTCTCACAGTCATTTCAAATGTTCTTGCCCTGATGTCCTAAAGGTTTGGTTTTTCAATTACAGAAGAAGTGTTTCTCAAACATAAAGAAGTCTTTTTCAGTATTAGCTATAGGCGCTACCTACCTCTCTTAGGGCGAACAGGGACCCAGCCCAATTAGCTGTAAGCACTACAGTTACCTTTGAGAACTCTGTGTCCAAAGAACTCCGCCCCGACACCGGCCATCAGTCACAGATGTGCGGTCAATTGCACCTTAAACCTAAGCACTTGTATATTAAGACTGAGTAGCCATGTCTTTTTTTTTGGGGGGGGGTATAATGTACAAAGTCCACAGGGACCCTCCTCACCCTTCGGGCATACTACTGTCAGAACCGCAAGATGTGAATGAAGCTCTCATGGCTTAGAGTATCTTTTTGGGCAAAATTATTCCTTTACTTCCCAAAATATAGTAGTTCCCATCTTTCCACTCAATTTGAAGCATAGAAGAAAATAGATTCCGAGGTTCTTTGATAACCATTCCTACTATCCATGTTCCCTTAGATGCTCCTGTAATATTGAAATGTAATAGTTTAATATTGCTGTAAAGTATTGTATAATTTGAAGACAAACTACACGTCATTTTATTATACTCCATCAACCTATAATATATTAGACTGATGCTTTATCTAAAAGGCTTTGAGTTTGTATATCTTGACAAATTTTACTACCATATGTTATGTAATAAATGTGTATTTTTGTACTTGCAGAAACTGCTGCTAACTTTTAAAGGATTTTGTTTGGGTTGGGTTGGTGTTGTGTTTTTTTATTTTGGTTTCTTGTTTTGTTTTTTGCTTTGAAGGCACTGATAATGGATATGTATGATGTCCATGCTGTCTAGTAAATAAAATACCATTCTGCAGAGTTAATCCCTTCAGAGCAGTATTTCCCTTTGTAGAATTGCTTTGGTTGTTCAGCCCAGTTTCTGCTAATGGTTGGAAATTTCAGACAGGCATCCTTTCTTGGAAAAAAAAATCTTTTTTCCCCTTTTATAATTGTTCTAGCCTTAGGGTGAAATGTGTCATATTTTAGACACAGAGTCTTCATTTTCTTAGGCATTTGATTGTGCTTCTAAACCCAGACATCCTCATATCAAAAGAACCATCCATTCAGTTCAGTCGACTGTCTGAGGCTTTTGTATCAAAGTTCGGACCAGCTGACCTCAGACATACCTGGACATCAGTACTGTTAAAGGAGATAAAAATCCATTCAATAATATGGAGATCTCATGACTGCTAGACTTTTTGCCGACTCAAAAGTGTATTGAGGTGTATTCTGGGTAAATTTAGCCACCATTTCAAAGGGATTCAGGGAAAAATAGACTGTCTTCATTAAGAAAAATATTATTTGCACCCGATAAGCAGTGAAGACTCTTGAGTAGTGTGTATGTTCACACTGATGATCATTGTCCTGAAATTTCAGATTAGGATGATGATAATTTTTTTAAATATGCCAAAAACCTCTGATTTAAGAAATCATGTCTGTGTTTTTGTTTCTTTTCATGGCCTGCTATATTGAAGTCAGAAGATCTAATGGGCCTTTGAACTGATGGCATTTTTTTCTTTTGAAAAGAAGCTAATTCTTTTATTTTTTTAATGCAAATCCTTTTATTTAGAGACAACTGATTAGGAATATTAATAGCATTTCCAAAAGATCTTCACATAAACATCAGTACCAGAGCTTGATTACACAACTGGGCACCAGAAAAGAAGCTAATTCTTAGATGTGCGTCCTGATCCAAGTTCTGGTAGTGTTTAACTGATTTATTCTACCTGGTCATGTTTTAACGACTGGAAAGGAAGTCTCCACACTGCTGATTTCAATGTGAGGACAATTTTATTATGCAGATATTTGTGGTAAAGTTTTATTTCTCAAATGTAAAATTTTGGTGGAGTGTAACTTCTCACTTCTCTGCATGAGCCAAGTTTCCTGTTGAAAGAAAAACTACTCTTGTGTTTCCTGCTGCCCGCATCAAATGGGAGACCTATTTTGTTGAGGGGCATCCATGATTATTAAATTTTTACAGTTTTCAGGTCCTTGTTTATAATACAGTGTGACTTGAGCTTTGCCAGAGGTGTGGTATAATTTGCAGAAGGCTCTGGGATATAATTTTCAGAATTTTTTGTTTTGAAGTCCCAAAGAAATGTATGAAGAGGGATGCATTCAGTGTACTATCCCTCCATTTGGACATTCTTAATTTTATCATGCATCATGCCGCATTCATATTTACACACTTTAAAGCATTTTTAAAATCTACTTAATTTAGTCATGTTTTCTGGAGTTTCCATGTAGGTGGTCATGTAAGATGCGGGTATGGAGATGACTAAGATTGAAATGCTAATTGTTCTCATCTAATATTAGGGAGCTCTGGGACCCTAGTGCTGAACTGTGCTGCAGTCCCAAAGTCACATAGTTCAAGGCCACCAGCCACTCTGTGGGAGGATGGACAGTCTCCTCCCATGTGATTAACTGCCCCTGAAAACGTGCCAGAGGGTCAGCTATGTGTCAGTTCCAACGGTACACAACAACAACAATATTGACTCAAAATCCACTGCCATCGAGTCTGTTTGCACTCACTTCCCATGTAGGACAGAGCAGAGCTGCCCCAGAGAGATTGCAAGGCTGTACTTCTCTATGGATGCAGGGGGCCTTTTCTCCTGCAGAGCAGCTGGTCAATGTAAACTGTCATTTCCATTAGCAGCTGAATGCTTTACCCGCCTCACCACCAGAGTGACTTTCACTGTTTGTGATTAAATATAGACCTTTTCCTTGCAGCCTCATGATCCACTGTGAGGAACAGAGAGGTAATCCCACTAATCAGAACAAGTAAAGCCAGTGCCGTCAAGAAAGACCCCCCCCTCTGCCAACCCCTAGTCACCCTGATTGCTACAGCCTCGTGTTTGGAGGAGAACATTGTATGCCTTTGCCCCACAGTGGGATGACCAAGAAGCAGAGAATCATCAGAGTGCATAAGCACAGAGAAGCTGCCGATTGATAGGTAACAGCTGTCAGGTTGAGGAGAGCGTTCGGCGAGCTATAGTTCAAGTAAGAAACGGAATCACTGCAAGTTTGAAGGAAATGGAAAGAAGATAGTGTGAGAGTTGTAGGAAGAGTTACCAGTGATGCAAATGCTCTTCAGGAATTTCCATTACCAATACGTTCCAGACTCTAAGGAACTCCTGTGGCTTCGTAGCTAAGGCTGAGGCTGGTAGTTGGCAAGTCAGCTGTTTAAACTCACTAGCTGCTCCCCAGGAAAAAAATGAGGCAGGTTCCTGGTAAGATTGACAGCCCTGGAAACTCAGTGGTGGATAAACACAGATAGGAATTCACTGGGTGGCATTAAACCCTGGAAACAATGCACAAGATACTGAAAGGTGGTAAGAGAAAAACAAAATGGTTTTGGGTTCTTAGGGTGAAGGAAAAACCCTGCAACAGCATCCTCTATCCCCTAACCCAGCAGAAGACATTTCAGACAGACTCATTGCTCCTTGCATCACCTGGAGTCCTGAGAACGTCAAGTGAGTCCAGCACCTCGAGAAATAGAGATGAGAGCCCCCTCCCAGTGCGTGACCAGATGGGCCACTCTCTCCTTTGCAGCCAATCTGA